TTCCAGGAAGAAAACTTTTTCCCAGGAGTGGTCTTTAAAATGACCACACATTTTCTTCTATTTCCTCTTTTGTTCACGATATGGCCCACAGCACACAAAGTATCTAAATTTAAAAAAAAGAAGAAGAAGAAGAAGAATGAAAAGAGAATGAAATCTCTAAAAGCTGAAAACATGTATTGCTAATTGGAAAACACTGTATGGTCAACAAAACTTTGCATTAAGAATTATTTCTTTGTATGAATAGTTCCTTTATGGTATCTTATACACAGTCTATGTTAGAGCCTTTTCAATGGGAATACATAGCTAAGTGTTGTAGGCATTGAACCATGCTTGGCTAGCCTTAACAAAATTGGATTGACCTGGTATATTTTGTTTCTGTAAGTAAAGAGAAATGGTAAGAAGAAACTGTTTGATGGAACATGAAATTTTATACTGTTCCCTATCCTACTCTTTCTATTACAACAAAATGAAATTCCAGAAAAGGATTTATCCCAGCAAGAAAATTGGCAATAGTTCCTTTACCCTCTCTTTTCTTCATCATTAGGATGTAGACATAACCTTTGAGATCTATCAAAAAATACTATGTATTCAACTCTATAAGTTGCCTTGAATAGAAAGATGGTGTCCTGCCTGAAATACATTATCATTTTGACCCTAAAGACTGAGCTCTAAGAGCTTTGTCTCTCTTCTTAAAATCTACTATGTTCACAAAATTAAAAACCGTAGTTACAAGATTATAAAGTAGATATGTCATTGACATGCAGATACCTGAACATCAGACCCAGTATACTGCAAAAATATTACCATAAAAGTTCTTGCTTCTGATCTATTCTTGATATCCACCTTGGGGAGTAATATGATTGCTCATGGTGCCAGATGGTGTTGATGCATCATGTTTGGATGCTGACAGGGAATTTATGAGAGAGAGATTGTGCTAAGTAACCAACACTATTTACCTAGTTTTCTTGGGAACAGAGAGAAGGTGGGCTTGGTTCAAGCAACGAGGCTTGGCAGTCGCTGGCAAGAACAATCTAGTGAAATATGCAGGATAGCAAGCTGCCACCAACACCAATGGTGTTTCAGAGCCACAATGACTGAGGACGTTGCTCCTAGGCCACGATTTCAGCATCGGTGTGGTACAGCTAAGGGTGTCTTTCTGGAAAAGCTCTGCGGCTAGGCAGATCTAGTTTATGAGGTACCCCAGACCCAAAGGGCATGGGAACTGTCCAGGAGTGGACCAGGCATAGGGACCCATGGTAATCAGGCCCACATGGGCTCTGGGCACTGGTGAAAGGGATGGGCTCTGCCTGACGCATTTACTTTCTTCTCTGCAAAGTTTTCTTTTCCTGCAAAGATCATGAACATGGCAGTGACTCAGTGCTGTCTAATTTTACCTGTGTCCCTGGTGACCCTGTCTTCTCATCATGAGGACTAAAGGACCAGCCTCCCACCCACAGGTCGGAAAAGGTCATCACTGGCCTCACTCAGAAGATGATGCTCTCATCTCTAGGTGAGTGTGGGAACACTGACAGAAAGGAAAATAATTGCGTTTTCTTCCAAAGCCGCCCGAAATGGTTTCTACAGTAATGGTGAAAACAGGACTCCTTGCATCTCTGGACATTTTGTAGTGCAGGCTGTAATGAGCGAGAAAAATATCTTGCTTTTAATAGCTAATCCTCTGATGCTTCGTGTGTGGGAAGGTAAGTTGATGTAGAAAAATGTCAGAGTTGAAGACAGAACTTGAGCCCAGAGCAGCCTCCTTGCCTGGTCCACTGAGTCTCTGAGCTGTTGCTAGCACAGCTGGAAAATTGGCACTTATTTTTAACAGTTATTTTCAGCAGGGATGGCGCAGTCCCACCATGCACAAACAGTCCGACCCAGAGGCCAGATGAGAGGGGTTCATGCTGCCCAAACCGTACCCCAGTTGTTCCAGACTCCTTTAGCTGAACCTCCTGTGTACTCTATGCTCAGACGAACATCATCTACCTCCGTACTCTTTGGGGAACAGCATCAAGCCTGCATCTCCCCACTTCAGTAATCCCTAGAAGTCCCTTAAAATTGGTCAGAGTCTGTCCTAGATAAGTGAGGTCTAGAGGTTTTCTCCAAGGGTAGTGTTTGTCTGAGCCTGCATGGGCCAGGGAAATGACAGAGGCGAGAGATACAAAAGGATCATACTGACCATGGATGGTCCTTTGACCACGTTAATACTATTTGAAATTTGTCAGATTTAGATTCATACATCTTTTACTCATTTTTAAGAGTACTTTGTTTTATATATTTTCTCAAGGCATTTTTTTATTTTGATAATTTTATAATATTCTTGTCAGTATGAAGACTCATAAACACAGTGATATGACTGTTATAATTCGTTGCTTTTACATTGTGGTTAAATATATATGTGGCTTTTTAAAAAAAAAACAATTAACAAGATTCTGTAGACCTCGTTCCCCACATATTTTCTTCTGTATGTGAATTTCAAGAACCATTGAATTTCCAGATATGCTAGCACAGACTCTTATTAAGTTAACCTGGATTTAGAGTTCAAATGTCTGTTCAGTAAGTGGTTCATAAACCTCCACTTTGCTAGGGAGAAGAGAAGAACATTTTCTTGTTTATAAACCTTCCTGATCTAATGTTATTTCTCTAGACCTTTCTTTTCTTGCATAATAATAAGGAAAAGATGTAAAGCCAAGGCACCTGCTTTATGGTATAATATTTTTGAATAAAGTTTGACATCTTATTTGGCTTTCTATATGACTCCTGAAGTAGCATTAAAGATAATATACAGTGCTATATAGTGTACAAAGAGTATATGTGGTGCTAAGAGACCAAAATACAGAACAAGGTCCTATTCCTCTCATAAGTCCTCTTGTCCCACTAGAAACTTAGAAAAACTTCAACTCTCAAACTGTACTAATGAAATTTGGAGTTTGGTTTTGATCTTATTTACAAATGTTATAAGCTATTGTTAAGCATCCCAGTTAGTTACCAATGTTTCATTAAGATTTTTTTTTCATTAAGAAATTTATTATAACAAATCCTAGGATTTTAAAGCTACAAACCAACTTTAAAAGTCTTGCTTTTCACACAGCGAATCTTGGGAATAAAGAAACAATTATACCTATGAAGTTACTGATCATTGCTCCCTGGCAACCAGTAATTGGCCTTGTGCACAGCCTTAAAGATGCAGCTCATGGCAGTAGGTCCTATCACGGTGCTTATGATGGAGACTGTGAAAATGGATCTGCAACTCCAGACCTGATATTTATTCCCAGACTGTAGTTGCTAAATAACACATTGCAGTATCTGGTTATCTTTCCTCTGAGTACAAATTTTAAATAGAAATGCATTTTTATTTGGTAATTTGAGAGATAGTCGTTTCACTTAGCTGTGCAGGAATTGACTATTTAGTAAATATTTCCAACATGTAACTAAATATAACTTTCAGTGTTCATTTTATAATGTTTGGTGCCCTAACACTTTAGAATTTAATAAAAATAATTTTGTTCATTGTAATTAGTTGTTGGCCTAGTTCAAGGCCTATGGCTTTGGGTACATCATCAATACTGGACCCTTTCTAAAACTCCTCTCGAATATCCTGCTGTTGACCCAAGTATGGAGAAGCTGCGGTTCTACTTTCACGGGACCAGTTCCTTCTCATGATCCAGTAGGTGGGGTAGGTGCTGGGGTAGACCAACTCAAAGCAGTGGATGTGGGCCTTGGGCCTAGGTGGCAGCTAAGTAGGTCAGTACAGACGTCCATTGGGACTGCCCCCTCAGGTGAGGTGAACCAGCTCTCCCTTGCCCACTAAGACAAATGAAGAGGTGATAGAAAGAGAGGAAAGACAGAAGAGCAAAGTACTTTTTTATTAATATTTTTTGGTGCGAGAGAATTGTCTGTATTCTGTCAATCAAGTTTTAAATAAATGCTGATTTGCCAGGCAGGAAGTATAGGCGGGAAAACCAAACAGGAAGTAGAAATGATGTAAAGAGAGCAGGAGAATTCTGGGAAGGAGGAAGTTGATCCCTCCCACTCCTGCCCAGACCACCGAAGCTGCAGGATGTGATCTGCTCCACTGAAAAAAAGGTACTGAGCCACATGGCTAAAATAGATCAGAAAAATGGGTTAATCAAGATGTGAGAGTTAGCCAGTGAGAGGCTAGAGCTAATGGGCCAATCAGCTTATAATTTATGGAAACCTATGTGTGATTTTCTTTGGGGCTAAAGAGTAGTGGGGTACTAGGCAGGACAGGAAACACAAACAAACAAGCAGCCCGCCCTTCATGTTACAATTTTTATTTTTAACTTTCTTTAGTGGGGGAGCTGCAAAGGCTGATGTGGAGGGACTAGGAAATGTGTGGGATTGGGGCAGATGATATGAAATTTCCAAAGAATCAGTTCAAATTGTTCACAAAAATCCTTTTGTTGACTTAATTTTACTAATAATTTTTCTAGGGCATGGCCATTTTAGCTTATATGCCTTTCACAACCACATGATTGACTGTATCCTGGGTGAGATTTTGTATAGCATTGGTTCACCAAGTAGATTATCTGTCAAAAATCACTTGGAATGTTTTAAAAGAGATCTGTACCTGATACTCTGTGAATTGCTTAAGTTCTATGAAATTCCATAAGATTAGCATACAATGGCAGGAAGTTGATCATGTTAGGCCAGGCTTGGAGCAACTGACCGAGATATGGGAAGAGATCCCATTAGAGAGTGGGGGAAGTGCTCTGGATTCAATTCTGAAATGGCAGTTACAGGGGAATACACAATTTGTTCCCACTCATTGATCTGTTCACTTAAACTTAGTGTGCATTTTAATGAAAATTAAAACCTAATAAAGTTGCTTATGCTTTCAAATAAAAAAATTATCGTGAAGGTTCACTTGTAGAAATCTTTGAAAAAAAATATATCTTGTCATGAAGTTGGGCTCAAATGAACAGCCATGATCAAGAACTTCTAAGATACTCAAATCTTGGGTAATCTTTCACTGACAGGCCTCTGAGACTACAAATCAAGCTCTTTTCCCACGAAGTCTGTTTTATTGTTGTGAAGGGGTTTCTGTGGAGTAGACCTGGAAGCCTTCACTGCACAGCTTCTTCATTGACTCCTCCTCCAGAATCCAGAAGCTTCATTCCAACTAGAAGCTGCAGAGAGGTGGAGAGGCTTCAGTGGACACAGATTTGAAGCCATCAACTTCCCCAAAGGCCAACTGTGACTGAAGTCTGTTGCCATACTGTTTAGCTGCTGAAGTAATACTCACACAGTATTCTGGGTAATTTTTGTAGTGTGTGAGTGTGAATATGTGTGTGTGTGAAAGAGAGGAAGAGGGAAAGGGGGAGAGAGAGAGAGAGAGAGAGAGAGAGAGAGAGAGAGAGAGAGAGAAATAGACAGTTAGTGTGTGGAGGGGGTGGGGTTGATAATTGAGAAACCTATCATTCTTCTACCACCTATGCTATTTGGGTAGACACTTGAAGATGCCTTAAAGATACAGTTCGCCTAGTACATAGTGCTTGGTTCCTTGATGCCCATGAAGATAGTTATTAGGTCTTGAATCATGAGAAACATATCCTAGTATAGGAATTCTGACTTTGTCCAACTCTAACAATGCTCTTTCTTCTTTTCTCCAACATCCAATCAAGCTTTTATATCAATATTTGAAGAGTAATTATAAAATCTATTTTCAGAGGCATGAGAGTGTTAGCAAAGATTCCTTTGGCAGTTATGAAATAAAAATAATACCTCATTTTTGTGGCTTTTAATTCTCCTCCTAGAAATCCATGAATTTTCCTATAACGAATAATTATTCCAGCTCTATTCCTTTGTGCTCATATGTTTTCCTTTTATACAAAACTCACTGAAGTGAATGCTGAGAGAATGAGGAACATTTTCTTGGGATATGTCTGAATTGCCTAGTTTTAAGAAATATGCACTGGTGGTGAGGATATGTGCCTATAGTGTGCGAGTATATCACATCCCTCCCAGCCTTCCTAAGGTTCAGAGAATATTTTTGAAGAGGGAAAGAAAGACTATGAGAGCCAGGGGTATTGGAGCAAAGGATGAAACAGAGTATCCTGGACTTGTCAGGACTGGCTTATCCATGAACTCACACGGAGCTGTGGTTGCCTGTCTACGATCAGCACAAGATCAAGCCTGTCAAAATTCCAGCAAGGAAGAGGAAGAACTCACGAGTCCCCAATGCGTGGCTGAGGTACTATTGATAGTTGACTCCTAGTGGAATGAAGATCAGGTTCTCTAATGAATGTGGTCTCTGGTAGATCAACCATGCTCTGGCAAATTGCCCCCACACCCATGCATACAATGGCAACAAAAACTGAAACTCAGTTGGGCATAAAATAATAGGACATAAAGTTGAAAAATGTGTGGAGAAGTGGGGTGAACTATGAAGGAGTGAGAGAGTTGAGTATGGAATAGGTATGATGAAAATATATTCTATGCATGCTTGAAATTCTCAATGAATTAATAACATATATTTTTAAAAAATAAATAAATACACATTTTGGGAAACTATAATATTTTAGCAGGAGTTTAGTGTTGGGACTAATTGAGTCCTGGCCTTCAGATGCTCTTCCCTGCTAGAACCTTCTAATTGAAGTTACTAAAAGCTGTGCTTTGCCTAGAGGATCAGAGGATGGGATTTTCACCTGTTGGCCATTGACTGCAGGGTATTTAAGCCTCCATGATGCTATTAAAGAAGAGCTTTTGGTACCAGTGAATGGAGGTCCGTGTGTCAGTCTGTCTCTGCGTGTGTTTCCTCAACCTCCAGCCCCTTGCCAGAAGCTCATGAACTGCACATAGAGCGCAGACAGGGGAGCGGTGCACGGCAGCGTAGCATTGTGTAGTTGGGGGTTTTTCTTGTTCTGCCCTCTCTTAGGTCCCCTCAGCACTGGAATTGGCTCCTCAGATCCCCTCCTTCCTGAAGTAGGCTGTGGTGATAGATCTAAGGACCCTGTAGATGGAAAGGAGTGCTTGGGGGCAAGCTGGTATGGGATAAATACAGAAAGCCAATAGGCGGGGAGAAGCCCGACTGAATGGCCAGAAAGTTTAGGGGATTGGAGGGTGCCTGTACTCCATTCCTGGGGCCGCCAGCCTGCCAGGCAGGCACACACTTACCCCTCCAGATGGATCTCCTGGTACTTGAGTGTAGCATTGTGTAAAAAGGCAATATGTGAACAAATATGGTATCTTATTGGACAGAAAATTACAACTTCATGGCCATGATGTTTTACTCAACACTATATCAAAAATGACTCCATCCCAAAGTACAGAGAAATTCAGTTTGAGATCCTGAGAAGTCTTAAAACACTGGGTCCCAAAGCCTTACTGGGAGCTAAAGATGAAGGCACTATGCATCTAGATGGAATCTATATTTCTTCTTATTTTTTTTCGTTTCTTTTACACACCAACCGCAGTTTCCCCTCCCTCCTCTCTTCCCATTCCCTCCCAAAACACCCATTTATACCCCTATCCAATCGTCTTATGTTCAGAAAAGTGCAGGGCTACGATGGAAGTCAGCAAAGCAAGGCATATCATGTTGAGGCAGAACCAAGCTCCTCCCCTTGCCTCTTTACCAAGGATGGAAGAGGACTCCCTGCATGCGAGATAGGTTCCAAAAAGTAAGCTCATGCACCAGGAGCATGTCCCAATCCCATTGCTAGGGTTCTCACAAACACACCAAACTACACAACTGTCATCCACATGCAGAGGGCCTAGGTAGGTCCCATGGAGACTCCCTAGACATTTGTTCAGAGTCTGGAGGCTTGCATTAGATCAGGTCAGCTGTCTCTGTGGATTTTCCCATCATGATCTTGATCATCCTTGCTCATACAGTTCCTCCTCCCTCTCTTCGATCAGACTCTAACTGTTGTTATTTATACCTGTATGATGCTTTTATTTTGAACTAAGAAGATGTGATAGTTGGGGAGAAATATACCCCAAAGAAGCACAATTTGATTTCAAAATTCAGTAGCAAAATCTGTTCTATCTGGGAGTCCAAATGTCCCCTACACCCAAGTTTTCCTTTTAGAGATATCTATTTTAATATATGTAATCCCTATTTTAAGAAACTTTGATTACTTGGCATGTATCAGTATTAGTCTTATTATTGAGCCATTGTGTGTCTCCTCTCTGAATATCCTTTGCAGGTTTGTGTGTGTACTCAGTTACTGTCTCAAGGTACTGGTGAATATTTTAACAAAGACAGTCTTCTTTCTTCCTCTTGTATGATCTAAATGCTG